CACACACACACACACACACACATATATATATACATTTAAGTATATGTGTGTGTATGCTTCCCAGCATATGTTATATGCATATGCATTTTCGAATAATAGCGTGTCTGGGTATATTTGTTTGTTTTACTCATATTTTTACTGATATCGATCGGTATCATTGAAAGGTTTGTTTTTGGTATTTTGTCGTATGCGTTTTCTAGGCATATATGCATGTCATGTGTTTTTTAAGCAGGTGTAGTTTACCTTGGATCGTATTGAATATGAATACGAATTTAATCGCTCGGTAGGTAGGTTGTGCCGTTTTCGTAGCAGAATCGTATGTATACATTTTTGAAATTAAGGTTACATATCATTGACTTTATTGATGTTTATAGTACTCCGAATATCAGGTGTGTGGCAGCTTGATCTGGATACTCCACATTTGTGTATTCTTGTTCCGTTGACTTTCGACTTTGTCAGATTCTTGGTTCATGTATAATGTAATCATTTTCACAACTCGTTTTCCCTCTGTTTTCCTCACTGCAGGTGCCGGGAAAGATTCAGCATGTGATCTGCACAGGAAATCTGTGTTCGGCACCTATGCTCAGCTATCTAAAAACTCTTGCCAACGATGTGCACGTAGCGCGCGGCGAATTTGATGATGTATGGAAATCAGACGTTTGAAGGCTTGTTTGACCAAATTTGTACCTTTTTTGTCCAACTGCGATCTATCACTCACGTTCTTCTTTCACATTCAATATAGGCTCAATTTCCAGATCAAAAGGTGGTTTCAATTGGTCTCTTTAAAATTGGCGTCTGCAATGGCTACCAGGTATGTCCCCGCTACAGTCGTCAGCTATATACGACAAAGCTCAGTGCATCAACGTAATGCGGTGTAAAATTGCAGATGAGCACGCACACTGTTCACCTTCGATAATAACGAACGTATATCTTCGTCATTGCAGATCATTCCTTGGGGCGACCAGGATAGTCTAGCAGCTCTCCAGAGAAAGCTTGACGTAGATATTCTCATAACAGGTAGTCTTTTGAGTTGCCCGTGTATTGTTTTGATGCCACGACCAGCGATTGTGAGCTGCTGTGAAAGAGGGTCTGTTCTGGTCTATTGATTTTGCGGGAAACATGAATCGGTGTGAAGTATAGACGATAGAAAGGATTTTTGAAACAAGGTTGTCTTTTTTTTTACTCTTCAGGACATGCTCACGAGTTTGGCACGAGAGAAAGGGAAGGCAAACTATTTGTGAATCCAGGTTCCGCCACCGGCGCCTTTACACTGCTGAAAGAGTAAGTCTCACTCCCTTGCTTTTGGCTTTGGTAAATATACTTTTTGG